TTCCCTTTCAAATTGAATAGAATTGATTAGCTTCCCTTTAAGATTGGCTTATTCATCCTGGTTAAACGTCTCGTGGAATATTCTATCTATCGTTCTGCAAAATCGGCTTTTTCAAAAAAAAATCACCTCCCCAAAGATTTAATTCTATCTACTCAAGGATGACTATATATAGTAATTAAAATGGTTTCCCTAGTGGAGTAACTTAAGTTAAGTACCTTAACAGCCACCCAGTATATCAGGCCTCGATAAACTCCTCCTCGGCCGTCAGCTTGGAAGTCCGGCCGGTCTTATCATAGTTCGCGCGGGACTTGGCATTAGAAAGCACCTGACAGTAAAGGATTTGCAACTCAGACAGTTAGAGAAAATGAAGTGTAGGATCATGTTGCAACAGCATAGCCCGCCTTGAATACACAAGAACGGAGTACAAGCATATCATGGTACATCACAAGCATGTTCTCCTAACATCACGGTGATCGTTGCACACCCTGTCTCATGGCCACTTGTCAGATGGTTTGCCTCCTTCTGGGCCCTTCGCTTCCTCATATATGGCTACATACGCAATGCCGGGTCTACACATGTATACCTGTATGCGCTGATGTCTGTCTGCGTGCATGTATATCATGTTTGTGCCAGGGTCCTCGAAAAGAAACACCTTTGCTAAGAAACAACATTAAACTCACATAAGGGTGCGCCATATGGACCCTACGAGTATGAAAACAAGTGGGAAGCATATAAGCCATGATTTCACCTGGACAATACTATGGGTTTTTACGGGTTTTACGGTCCGAGCAATCCGAGCAAGAACACTCTAGCTAAATACTAAATTGCTAAACGAGAAAAGCTTTCAAAAATCCAGCAAAAGTATGGATCACGTCATGACATGAAATAGAAGGGCACTGAAGGACGAGGGCTCAATGATCCATTCGCTTTGGATCAGAGGTGTGACGGGGTCGAAGCTTTCCCATCTGAGTAGCCCACCTCATATGCCTTGCTAAGCCTGGCGAACTCTTCGGGGTCACCCCCGCGATCTGGATGCTTCGCCAAAGCCAGCTTTCGGTATGCCTGTACACGTACGGCCAAAAGCTCAACATTCATGCGAACACTGTGCTATGATTTCAAGAGGAAGCGCCTGCCGAATCTCTGACGGCGTGGAACCGGGATCAACGCCAAGAATCTCATAACATGACTCGCCATCATCCAGCTTGGCCATGGCTGGAAGGGGCCCAGCGAGTTTATGAAGGCTTATATAGGGATAATGGAAAAGAAAATGGAAAACTACTATAGCATTTTCCCAATCAGGCTGCTTGTGGACTTGCAATGCAAACGTGACACAGTGGCGGCATTCAAACAATGTTGTTATCACGACACCGTGGGTATGCGACTTTTTGCTGCGCTGCAACTGCAACATGTTAAAATCATTTGATACCAACGGCTGGTGCTGATGGAAACGTGAATTCACCTACATGTGAGCTATAGTCTGAACTCCTAGTAATCCCCCTGAATAAGCAATACAATCGGAACCCTATATAGTCCCCTATGTAACCCTAGACCCTAAATAAAGGGGGCTATATAATCCCCTGTTATCACCCCCTTTAAGGAATTTAGACCATAAACCCTGAACCCTAAACCCTGTACAATCCCCCCTTTAAGGAGTTTATCAGTTTATCCCATATAATCCCTATACTAACCCCATTTAAGGAGTTTGGACTACAGCATGCTACGGCAACATGTGGTGGGCCTCGGAATCCTTCAGGCACAATGGCAGTCCGAAGCCTTACCTCTGCTTAGCAGAGAACAAAGGAAAGGATCCCTGTACTTGGAGGGTTTAGGTTTTAGACTTGAGGGTTTAGGCTTTAGGCTTTAGGCTTTAGGGTTTAGGGTTCAGGTTTTAGGGTATACGGTCCGGGGGACTCAGTGTGTAGCTTAGTAAGGGGGATAACTGGGGTCATTATGTGAGTTATAGGGGTGAAAACTATACTTGCTAAAATCCCCTTGACCCTCCAAGTAGTAGCCCCTTTTTAAATCCGCAACTGTAAAATGGTTTTCATGTTCTGCTCCATTCCCTCATCCACTGCTAACCAAACCATTTCATCTTCTATGATCTCGTGCATTTGATTCTCCATTGGGGGATATAAGTTCCCATAATGTAACCCTTGTAAAGCCCCTATACAAACCCGTATACAATCTCTAAACCCTAAACCCTAAACCGTATATATTCCCCTAATAACCCCCAAAAGAGTAAGCAAATATCCTGGGCCAACATCCTGGGGCTCCAGCAGCCAGGGCAGTCCTTCGGCCATCGCTGCAAGCAGCGCGAGCCATTGCCACATGAGCTATATGAAGGTTTCCCAAAATTAGGGGTACCATTTTGGGGTCCCTATAATAAGGACTATAGTATTTTAGGGTCTATACTGGGGTCCCCCTATATTGGGAAACTACCATATATTTTTTTGGACCTTTTCTCCACAGCTCGCACGATCCATGGAGCTATATTGTTTAGGGTTTAGGGTTTAGGGGTCTAGAAATTCCTTCGAGAGTTTTAAATTGGGCAATATGGTTTAGGGTTTAGGGTCTAGACTCCTGAAAGGGGTCATAAAGGGTATTGTATAGGGGACCACTATCGGGTCTAGGGTTTAGGGTATAAACTGCTTAAAGGGGGTTATATAGGGTTAATATAAGGGACTACTATAGGGATTACTAAGGGGGATACTAGGAGTTTAGACTATAGCTCACATGCTAGAACAGCAGTACCTAAACCAATACCCTAAACCAAAGTCTAAACCTAATACCCTAAAACCCAACAATTTAACTAGAGCTTCTCCTTCCTAGATCCTCCCAGAATTCAGGGAGTTCGAAGTCAATTCCAAGCCGAAAGCTGCTCATCAAAGCTTGCAGCCCAGCTCTGTGCTTGGGATTGTGCTCAGACGGTCCTGCCTTGTATCCTCTGTCTGAAGCCCTGTATAACCCCCTTAAAGGAGTTTATACCTTAAACCCTAGACCGCCTAGACCCTATAGCAGGTGAAGTATTACCGTTGTTTGCGCCCTGGGCTTCACGAGAACCCAACAGACTCCAAGGAGGGCACTCTCTTCTTCTGCAGAGTTCGTCGGGATGTCCTGCGGGCAACGTGTGCACGCGGTGCTGGCCATCTAATTTTGACAACATCCAAGTGCACTCCAAAACTGCATGGAGCTTACATCGCTGGTCAAGTCACTTAGCATGCCAGAGGATGCCCTGGCCCAAAAGGATGGCCTCCAGCTGTTCGAGGAGTGCCTCCACTAGCTCACATTTCAAGATTCAATGCCACAGGCCAAAATTTCACAGCATTTTTTATCACTACTAATTCCCGCTCCTTGGCATCTAGATCCCGTTAGCACTCCTTGCACAACAAAGCGTGTGAGCCATAGTCTAAACTCCTAGTCCATAAGTCTTGGTCATTGCCAGGTGTGACAGTCGATCGGGCGTCGACAGGTCCAAGTAATGATACAATAACTAGTAGTGCCCGCTAGTTAGGCTGCAAAATAATCTAAACTCCTAGCATCCCCTTAGTAACCCCTATAGTTCGTCCCCTATATAACTCCCTATATAACCCCCGTTAAGATCTTTAAGGAGTTTAGACCCTAAACCCTGAACCCTGAATCCTAAACCCTATACTACCCCCCGCTAAGGAGCTTATCCTCCATAACCCCTACTTGACCACCTTTAAGGAATTTAGCAGTTTCCCCAAATAAGGGGACCCCAATATAGACCCCCAAATACTATAATCCTTGTTATGGGGACCCTCAAAATGGTACTCCTTAATTTTGGGAAACCTCCATTTAGATTATGGCTCATGTGGCTTGCGATGTGGCTTGGTGCCTCTGCATCTTCCAAAAGCTGCTTTGTGCCTCGCTCCTGACCCAGGCAGTGGGCTGCGTAGGTATGGGGTTTAGGGTTTAGGGGTTTAAGGTGTAGCACACTGTCCGAGTGTAAGGGAACATACAAAGGGAATAGGGGTTATAAGGGGGTTATATAGGGCTTGGGGTTTGAGGTTTCCCAAAATTAGGAGTACCTTTTTGGGGTCCACATAATAAGGATTGTAACGCATTGGAGTCTACATTAGGGTCACTCCATTTAGGGGACCTCAAAACGAACGTCACCGTGGGTGCATCTGAAAGAACATCTGCGAGACAAACCATTTCACTCATGACTACCAACAATCACTTGTTGGGAGGTAGTAGAGAAAAAGGGGACATATGATATAGGGATTATATTCTCTTATTCCCCGCTAACCACCAGTAAGGCCAACAATCGCCTGAGTTGTCAACTCTTGCAAAGTAAAAGGCCCAACACACCAGCAGCAAGCACGCCCGTTACACGATGTTTGCATGCTTACGCATGCCCCGAGCTCGGATCCCCATGGCGATTTTGCCTTGTGGTGCTTATGCCCTAGTAACCCTAATATAACCCTCATACAACCCTAATCTAACCCCAATGGGTGCCTTGAGGGTTGAGGTACAAGGCCACATGTCAGCCTCTGACAGCCTCGACTCTCGCCTTCCCTGTGGACCACCCGATCCTCACCCACTTCCAGGGCTCTAGGTACCCATTGGGGTAATCTTAGGGTAATGTTACGCTTATGTTAGGGTTATATTGGGGTCATATTGGGGTTATATTGGGGTTTTTATCAGGGCAACTCTACGGCAACGCAGCTTTGTGTCGGCTTCGTCACCACATGATCTAAGATGGTGCACGGGCATGGTCCAAGACCAGAAAACAGCAGAGGAGGCGACATGTTCCCTTTCATCTGGATCAAACTGCCAACAGAACTTTGCACCGCTACAAGTAACTTGTTCGATTGTGTTTGTGCATCAGGCTATGGCATTCGGTGCCCCATCTCGGATTTAGGGTTTCCAGTTGTACAACAACCATGGGGAAGCCCGGCAGAAGTGTCACCGCGGCAACCAGCACTTTCGTCGGCGCCAATGAGGATTTTCGCTTCATCCAGTGCAGGCTCCAGTAGTAAGCCCAGTCCACACCACAGGCCATATAGCTTCCACAAGGAATCGTACAAGCATCAGGGTTCTATGGGGATTGTACAAGGATGTTCGAAGGTTGTGTCAGAATGATATGGAAGCACTGAGGGGTTCTAGGGCTGTGCGCGGCGTACAAGACCATTGCGGTGGAGGGCTTCTGTGCCCGTTGCTCACAACAGAGCCTGCTGATTGTTGGAATTTCCAAAATTACGGACCCTTTTTTGGAGGTCTCCATGTCCAAGGTTGAACCATAGGCCCGTAGTATGCGTAGTATGGGCCCTTCCTATTACATGTACCCTGAAAAATCCTTAGAAGGGGCCCATGCTTCTAACCTGAGATGATGATAAGCATTTAAGTCTATTCGCGTGTGTATTGGGGTCCCCCTGTTTATGGAAGATATCATTGGATCGCAAAATGCGCAAAACAAAACAAAAAAAAGAAGACGTGTTTGACATTGCAGAGATAGAGGTGCTTTGGTCCTGGCACCGTGGTGAGCAGACTCGTCATAACAATCTGCAGCAAACAGACACGGCGAAAGCAAGAAGCCGAAGCTAGCGCAACACGGTGCAGTAAACTCAGGGAAAGAACAGAAAAGCTCTGAAGAATGGAAGCTCGAAGCGCTCCTTGTTCCTTGTCTGCCCACAATTTTCTGAACAATGTGCTGGAATCGGGCAATTGCAAACACAAACATCACGAAAATGATGCGATAAAGCAAAAAAATCACGCATAATTACGGTCCAACGTTTCGAACAGGTCCATCCTCAAACCTCAAACAGTTGTCAGTTCCTTCCACAAACCCAGTTTACCGCAATGGTTCCTGCCATGTGTTCTGGCGAACATTCAGTGACAAAAGTCCATGAGCTGCGCCAACGACCCCCCCCCCCACCCACAAAGTGGAGCCTGGCACCTTCACATCTCATAAGACCGGTATCATTGCATCGTTTACAAAGAGCATCCAGCGCGTGGATCATTCAGTCCTCTGCCAAATTGTCTTGGAGAACAGCCTCGTCAAAAACAACACAAAATCCCGGACTTGCATGTTACTACAACATAAGGCCCGAGCCAAAACATCCACGTCAGCCTGTCCGTGCTGACCCATCAGGTCTCCCACTCCCATTCTCATAATATCAATCCCGGCGCATGCCTGGCCATCTCTACCCTCGTCAGACAGGTGACGAAGTTCATCCGGACTTCTCT